CTTTGCGCCAACCGCCTCGGGGAAACGGAGCGCCGCGGCTCCGCCGGGAGATTCCGACCGCGCGCAGTGGAACCCGCGCTGCGGGCACACGGCGCTGCGGGCACACGACGTGCCGCCCTCCGTGCCCGACAGCCCCGGTACCGCGCGGTGGTTCGGCCCGGCCCGGCGCCGTGCGGGGCGGCGGCGCCCGGAAGTGACGCGTGCGGCCGGGCGCTGCTGTGCCGGAGGGAGCGAGGAACGGCTCGAAAACCGCGCCGCAGGTGAGCGCCGGGACGGCCGGGACCGGGATGGGGCCGGGATGGATCGCTGAGGGCCGGGCGGCGCCGCGGTGGGTGCGGCTGCTGGCGTCGGGCCCATCCGGGGCGTTCTGCAGCGTTCTGTAGCATCCCGCAGCCTCCCTCATCGCGCTCAGCGCCGGGGCCGCCTGGCACGCGATCTTCGTTTGCTCCTCCGTGTCGGCCGGCCGCGTTGGCGCTCCCTGCGCGCTGCCGGACGGCCCGGCCTTCCGGCGCGGCAGTGCGGGGCGGGCTGCGGCCCGGCGGAGCGGTGCGCGCGGCTTTGAGTGACGCCGTGATGCTCCGTCCCTACCGCGCTGCCGCCGTGCCCGGCTGTGTTTCCACCTTCCTGTTGCAGCACGACACGAGCTGAGTGCGGACACCAAGGGGCGGTAGCTGATGCTGGGGCAGCTTTTTGTAAGCGTTGTGTTGCTAAAATGCTGCTGCGTGGAAAACACCATCACCTTTCACAGGTATCCCTAATAGACTTTGTTGTTGGTGTGTGCTCGATGGGAGGGCAGATGGCCGCAGAGCTCTGATCCAGCCGTACTGATGACTCTGTGTTTATCCTGTCTGTTCATAACAGGAGATTGCTGAGCGCTCTCACGTCCCTGAGCAGCTCTCCTGTCTCTGCCCTGCAGCATTCGCTTTGTCAGCTCTGCTGTTACGTTCTGTGCTTAAATGCTGGCAGCTAATTTTATGCTCTCACGTGAAGCAGTTTGTAAGTGGGCTCGTTGCAAATTAGGTGCCAGTTGAGGAGCTATGGAAATGATGAACTTCTTAATAACGAGATGAAGGAAGCGCACTTTGGAAGCTCGCGTAGTCACCTAGTGAATAAAAGAATTAAATCAGCTTTTCAGTTCAGAAGCGGGATGGTGGTGATGTTCCCTGCAGAACAATGGTGATGTTCCCTGCCTGTCCTGGATCTTGATGTGCTGACACCCTCCACCCTCTCACCACTGCAACAATTCAGTGAATAAGAACTGAAGAGCTCCCGCAGCTCTTGGTGGTGGGCAGCACCACTCGAATGCTAACGAAGCTGAAATTAGAGCAGGTATCGTGGTGCTGTCAGGTATCACAACGGGAAGGAAAACTTGAAGGAATGAGTGCTTGGGAGCTGTGTGAGCTGTGGGTGGCAGCTTCCTTCTCTCTGCCCTCCCTGTGCCATAGTGAGAGCAGCTGCCTACAGCCTGGGGAGAGGTGGAGGCAGCAGCAGTGCCCAGGGTGCTCTGTGCTCCCCCAGGAGCTGTGTGGGCTGGGTTGCAGAGCACCTCTTCTTGTTCCACTTCTTAGAATCATAGAATCATTGAGCTTGGAAAAGACCACCAAGATCCGAGTCCATCCCCACCCACTGAGCATGTCCCTCAGTGCCACCTCTCCATGGCTCTTGGATACCTTTGGGAACAGGTGCCCCCCCCCTGCTCCTTGCACAGCCTGGCACAGTGCATCACCGCTCTTTCAGAGAATAAATGTTTCCTAATATCCAACCTGAACCTTTTCTGGTGCAAAGTGAGGCCATTGCCTCTCATCCTTTTACTGTTACCTGGGAGCAGAGGCCAACCCCCATCTCACCATGACTTCATTTCAGAGAGTTGTAGAGAGCAGTGAGGTCTCCCCTGAGCCTCCTCTTCACAGCCCCTCCTCACAAGACCTGTGCTAAGGACCCTTCAAGCTTTGTTGCCCTTCTTTGGACACACTTGCTGATGCTGGGCACCCTGACCCAATCTCAGCAGGACAGCAGTGTGCTTGCTGGGGAGCTCTTGTTGCAGCAAAGTCCCCCATGGGGTGAGGTGAGGGTCTCCCGTCTGCTGTGCTCCCCTGCCCATTCGGAGCATAGCAGGCCCTGCTCCTGCACGCCCTTTCCTGCAGTCCAGCAGCCTGTGTGGGTCTTTTGCTCTGCTTTGTGCCAAGGGAGGGATTGTTATGACCTGTGTGGAGCAGGGGTTGTGGAGCTGGGTGCCTCCTGAGCACTGGGGCGTTATGCAGCACTGCTTGGGGTGAGATGCAGCGGGAAAGGCATGAAGCGAGGAGCACAGGCTAGCTTAGGAAGGTTTAACTTTGTCTTGAATAAGCCAGTTCTTTATTTCACAGAACCATAAGGGTTGGAAGTGACCTCTGGAGCTCCGCCAGTCCAATCCCCCTGCAACTGCAACAGCAGTTGCACACAAATCGTGCAGGTGTGTTTGGATACCTCCAGACAAGGAGACTCCCCCACCACTTGGGGTTAGCTGTGCCAGGTCTCTGCCACCCTCACAGCACAGAGATCTTCCTCATGTCCATACGGAACTCCCTGGGCTCAAGTCTGTGCCCGGTGCCCCCTTGTTTTGGTGCTGGGCACCATGGAACAGAGCCCAGCCCCCACCTCCACCCTGCAGATATGGATCAGTACTGCTCAGATCCCCTCAGCCTTTTCTTTTCCAGGTGCACAGTCCCAGGCTCTCTATTTTTATTCTGATCTCTATGCAGTTCTCAGGAATATGTGATGTAGAGCTCTTTCATGCATTCTGAAGTTTGCATTTTATTCCAGAAGGAAAAAATGTGTATTTTTCAATAAACGGTTAATATGGCAGTCACTGTTAATGAATACTTGTCCTGAGTTTAATGTGTATCTAAAAGCATAGAGCATGAGGGCTTGAGAGGTAAATTGCAAGGTAATACACTAATTTAGGTAAAAGCATAAACGGAAAAGTAATTTTTAAACGTTCCATGTGGCATGTCTGTGTAATATGAGTAATAAAGCAGCTGAAAGTGAAACCCTGAGTAATGCCTCAAAAATTCTGTTTGTCACAGATGGACCAGTCGTCTCCAACCTACATGCTTGCCAACCTAACACACTTGCATTCTGAACAGCTTCTGCAAGGCTTGAACCTCCTTCGCCAGCATCACGAGCTGTGTGACATTATCCTTAGGGTTGGCGATGTCAAGATCCATGCCCACAAAGTGGTGCTCGCCAGCATCAGCCCGTACTTCAAAGCCATGTTCACCGGGAACCTCTCTGAGAAGGAGAATTCAGAGGTGGAGTTCCAGTGCGTTGACGAAGCAGCGCTGCAGGCCATCGTGGAGTATGCCTACACAGGAACTGTGTTCATCTCACAGGACACCGTGGAGTCGCTTCTTCCAGCTGCAAACCTTCTCCAAATCAAGCTGGTGGTGAAGGAGTGCTGCGCCTTTCTGGAGAGCCAGCTCGATCCTGGCAACTGCATCGGGATTTCTCGTTTTGCAGAGACCTATGGCTGCCACGACCTGTACTTGGCTGCCAACAAGTACATCTGTCAGAACTTTGAAGACGTTTGTCAGACTGAAGAATTCTTTGAGCTTACGCATTCTGAATTGGATGAAATTGTTTCCAATGACTGCTTGAATGTCGTGACGGAAGAAACAGTTTTTTATGCACTGGAGTCCTGGATCAAATATGATGTTCAGGAGCGACAGAAGTATTTAGCACAGCTGCTGCACTGCGTCCGGCTGCCGCTGCTGAGTGTGAAGTTCCTTACGAGGCTGTACGAAGCAAACCATCTCATTCGTGATGACCATACCTGCAAACATCTTCTAAACGAGGCTCTAAAATACCACTTCATGCCTGAACACAGACTTTCCCACCAGACCATGCTGATGACACGACCTCGCTGTGCTCCTAAAGTTCTGTGTGCTGTAGGAGGAAAAGCTGGGCTGTTTGCGTGTTTAGAAAGGTAACGGCAGAGCTGCTGCAGCAGTTGAGTGGCGTGATGTTCGTGTGTGGTTTTTGTCACCCTGGGTCAAGAAAAGCACTGAGAAGCTGTGGTTTGCAGAGATGTGGTTTCTGCTTTCCTTGCAAGTGAGTTTTCTTGCAGCGAGGACAAGCAGTGAGCTCTTAGTTCTTGTGCGTAGTGCTCGCAGTTGAGGCTTTGTTTGTACCAGTACAAATAGCAGTAAAATCTTTTTCACTCTGAATTTGGTTAATAAAGGTAGCTGTCTTCAGTTTGCATGCGACTTCTAACTCGGGAGCCTTTGGAATTAAGACTAACTTAATCAGAGGAAAAGCAGTGTTAAGTTCTTGATCACAGTGCAGTCATGCCTTTAGTGAGCTGGTCTTATTTCCCCAGTTCTCAAACTAAGCATCCTCTTCAGATCAGTGGTTTGTTGCCTCGCTGAAGCTAGCCACACCAATCAGAGGAACATAACAGAGACAGCTTTCTTGCCCATACTGGTGTGCCTGGGCTTTCTCTCAGCACTGTATCAACATTTCCAGAAGTGGTAGCTCAACTGTGAGTGTTCCTGTGTGTATGTGTGCTTTTGTACATGGGCTGCTGTGATGCTGAATGCACCTTTACCAGTGCAGCACGTGTTCCCTGTGTTAAGGCATGCTACCTGGGCTGGCCCTACAGCTGGGTGCTGGGATATTTTACTGAGCTACTCTCTTTTTGCAACAGTTCAGTGCTTGTACACATGGGCACACACTTAAGAGCAGTTGAGGATGTTGTCGAAGGTATTTACAGTTTGCTTTCCTGATCAGTGGTGTCAACAGTGGCTGTTGGGACTGGGGATCCTTAGGGTTGTGTTTTTAAAGAATAAAGGGTGGGGGAATGTTGAATGCCAGATCTGTTTGGTTAATGGAATAAGAGTCCTCTGGTACAGCTCGGCTCCATTTCTTTCACAGGTTCTTAAGCGATTTTAACAGTGTCACATAATGGTGTGGTTCAGAATACTTTGTTGTTGTTGTTGAACTGGAACTGCGTGTTCCTGCATACAAAAACTCCTTTCATTTGTTAATTTATTATTCATAATTGTCTCCAACTGATACTTCCATTCATACTTCAATAATTTTTCATGGCAAAAAAAAAAAAAAAGGAATACATCAGTTAGAAATCTTCCCTAATAATTTAGGTACCTGATTTTCCTACAGCTACAATTGAAAATGGGAGGCCCTACTGCCACAAAACTCGTTTTCCTTTTTGTTTCTATTTGCAAGAAGGCTGATTTTTTATTATTATTATTATTATTATTATTATTATTATTATTGGGATTTTTTGCTGCTAGTTACCTCCTGCTTCATAATAACAGAGCTTGGAATCTATTTAGTGCTGCTCTTTCCTACCTGAGCCACTGCAGTGAAGGGTCGGTGTGCTGTCAGTCATAGCATCACAGCATGGCCTGGGTTGCACAGGAGCACAGTGCTCATCCAGCTCCAACCCCCTGCTGTGTGCAGGTCGCCAAGCAGCAGCCCAGGCTGCCCAGAGCCACATCCAGCCTGGCCTTGAAACTTTCCGTCTAGTTAGACTGCAGTGTACAACTGCGAACTACAAACTACTTTC